CCACACTGGAAGAAGAAGAGTTGTCTTGGGCCACACGTTAAATACATTGCAACATGTAATCACAAGAAAATCTCATAACGGTCTAAGTAAATTTATGATTCTGTGTTGGGCCACATTCACAGCCATCCTGAGCTGCATGTGGCCTGCAGGCCACAGGTTGGACACCCCTGGCCATCAATCATAAAGTCCTCCCACGTTCCCTTTACTGAGTCGTTTTTCTTTCTTCTTTTTCTTTTTCTCTTTTAATCCTCACCCAAGGACATGCTCGTTGACTTTAGAGAGAGGGGAAGGGAGAGAGAGACATTGATGTGAGAGGGAAACATTGCCTGGTAGTCTCTAACATGTGCACTGACCAGGACCCGAACCTGCAACCCACGCATGTGCCCTGACAGGGAATGGAACACGCTACCTTTTGGTTTATGGGACGATGCCCAACCAAGTCACACCAGCCTGTGGGAGTCTTTTTCCCAAGGGACAATAATTTGCCTTGTTTTCACGTATGTCTGCTACAGCTGGATGAAGCCTATTTGTTTCAGTGTAATATTTCACATTCATCAATAACTATTAATCAAATGTAATAGCTAACATTGGGGCTCCTATCATTTGCATTATAGCAGGAGAAGAGCTAAAATTAGCACATAATATATTTTTTAAAAGGACAGAATGAATACTTAGTTAACAACCACAAGATTTAGTGACTCTTAAAGCAGCCTTCATGAGAGATTTGTCCACTTAATTTGCATTGACATTTGAAAGCACCACCTGGTTCTAAATTTCACTCTTTCTACTTAGAGGCTGTTCTCGCTCAGCAGAAGTGTGGAATAAGTCCCGTGCCAATGACTTGCCTGTGTGAGGAGTTGTTCCTTCTTTCTAGAAGAAGCGCCTGCCCAGCTCCTGGCTCCAAATGGTTTGGGACGGGCACTTGAGGGGACTGGCTGCAGTGCTGGCTGTGTCCATCAGGTGGCAGCGCGCCCTTCCTCTGGTAAATGGGAGATGATGGGGGAAGGGGACGACTCTCCCCAAATTCCCACAGGAGAACATAGGATTGCTCCACACTGGGGTGCTGTCAGCACCCTGGGCCACTTCACATACTTGTGGACGTGTGTGTCAATTGTCAGTATCTTCCCCCAGCCCCAAGCCGGTCCCTCATCCTGAAGACAGGAATGCAGGGGGCCCTTGCTTTACCGGTGCTTCTCCCCCACGTTTTTAATGTACATTAAATTCTCTAGGAATGCGACTGCTGCGTGAACCAGTGGAAGACTGCACTTCCGTTTTCTTTAGCACTTAACCAAAAATGATTCCCTCTTTCAGAGATGATATCCGGAATCGCATCCTCCTAGAGGTACTGTGACTGACAGAGCGCCCTGGAGGCTGATGGATTCGGACTCAGAGCCGTACACATGGTGGCAGGTACCTGCCTGACCTCCATTACTCCTGACGTAATACCTAACTTCTCGCTGTCGGCCCTTCGTGTTAGTTAGGGCACTGACGTTGTCTTCTGAAATGATGGATGTATTGGATTTTTATTATTTAGGAGTTTTATTTCTGAATGAAAAGGGTGCATTAGGTCTGACTGGTTCAGGTCCATCACTCTGGCGTTCTGGCTTCTTATCATCCTCCACAGTAAAGAAGAGAAATGTGAATAAAACAAACACAATATACGCCATTTCCCCCGGAAACACAGCTTCTGGGTTTAGGCTTCAAATATTCAAACTGGCCTCTTGGCCACTTTCATAGCACTATGTATTGTAAAGTAAACGTAATGTGCAATAACTCCTCAGCTTTCCAAGGGAAGCTTGTGTTTCTAGCCCTCTGATCTTATGTATATATTGTGCGTGCATTCTTGGGGATCAGGGTTTTGAAAAGGCTTCCTTCTACTGAGGATAAAAACCCTTCAAAATAAAAGAAGAAACAAAAGCCACTTATTCTGATTGAAGGGGAGATAAATAGGCTGGAGCAAGAAATCACAGGGGACTTCCTATGTCATATTAGGCAGCCTGGCCTATGTGAATTTCCTTTATTCACCTGCAGATGAAGTTTATTTGTCCAGCAAATATTTACCTAGGAGCGACCTACATTCTAGGCAGACGGAGACCAAAATCAACTGTAGAGTAATCACCACCATTTCAGATAAACCCTGTGAAGCCCATAAGCCTGAGAGGTGAGGGGCCTGGGGATGAAGGGACAATGGGCAGGATGGAAGGCTTCCCTGGAGAGATGGCTTAGAGTACGAGGGGTGTCTCCAGAGACCCAGCAGAGGGACAGCAAGTGCAAAGGCCCTGAGGCCAGAAGGCCTGAAGACCAGCAAGACCGGCAGGGGTAGTGACCACCAGGGGAGAAGGTGGCACCAGCCTAGAAGGTCCCGAGATGGGAAATCTGGCTGCCCCCTTCCCAGCGTCCTGCCTGTTTGTGGCTTGGCAGGGAGGAGGTGCACCTCTATATTTGGCTCAGAATGTTGGGTGCTGACATTTTCAGATACAAAATAATCCTTTGACCTTTTAAAATCTGAGAGTGACCAGAAAACCCAAGTTTCCATCCACAGGCAAGGAAGGATTTACCCCACTGAACCCATCTTAGGTGGGCAGTGGGAGACCAAATAGAGCGCTCCTGTGAACCCCGCTCCTGCTGCTTCAGCCAGGTGCTGAGCGGCACCAGGTCCGGGGCTAGCCATTGCCTTGGCCAGGGTTCGGGGACCAAGCCTATAACTATAGAGATGACTTGTGGTGAATTTTCATTTATAGGACTTTTAGATCCCTAAATGGGGATAGGAGAAGAAGAAGACAGAGAGAAAATGAGGTGGGTAGTGAGGAGGCCCTGGAAGGTTCGAGAACCAGTCTATAAGCAAAAGTCAGGATGCACATGTGCGTGCTGAGCTCTCTCAACATTCACAACCCTTGAATTCCTAAGGTTCTATCCAGTTTCAGTTTAGCAAAAGTGAACAACTCCGTAAGGTTTTCTAAAATGGAAATGAATAGAAAGAGGTTCAATAAAAGGGAGGAGATGCCCCAGCTTGTAGCTCAACGGTGTAAGACCAAGAATAACTTTGGCATCTGAGAAGTGACTCCATATAGTTAGCATTCAGTGTTCATCAAACCTTCCTGAGCTCCTGCCGCTGCCCGGGCTTTAGAGAGAGGCCTGGGGCGGAGGGGCCACGGGGGAGGGAGGGTTGAGGGCTCTCGCTGCCCCTCGGAGATGGTCCCTGTAGGGAAGGCTCCAGAAGCTGGCACAGAAGCCCACCCTCCCAAAGACCAGCCAGACTGCCAACCACAGCTGTCCCTATTTTCGTTTTAAATCATTTGAACTTGTCCTCCCCTAAAACCACTGCTGAGTTCATTGTTTCATGCTCAAATTGCTGTTCCTTCCTGCTTGCTGGTTTGTCCCAGAGAGTTCCCATTGCCATTTAAGCACCCTGCCGCTGGGCACACCGAGCTCTAGAGCAGGGGTCCCCAACTGCAGGACTGCGGACCAGTACCTGTCGGCGGTCTGTAAAGAACTGGCAGCGAGGGAAGCTCACCTGAGCCCCACCTCCTGTCCTCGCCCCCCATACCCCCAACCCGGTCCACAGCAGGAGGTGCCAGCAAGTGAAGCTCCCCTGTGCTCTGCCTCCTGATCCCCCCAGCTCCACCCCCTGTCCCCCCAACTCTTCTCTGGAAAAATGGGTCCCTGGTGCCAAAAAGGTTGGGGACCACTGCCCCAGAGCATTTTCCTGGGTCCTCCCCCAAAGGACACCCTCCTGTGTCACTCCACATAGGGAGTCTGGGTACTTTCTAGATACATGATCCTACTTTAGTGACATCATCCCTGAGGTCCAGTGGCCTTGTCTACAGAACAAGCCTGACAGCTGCCTTCCTGTCTCTATAGTTTTGAGGGTCCAGGAAGAAAATAAATGGAGATGCTGTGTAGGATGGTAGCTGCCACCTTGAAGCACGTCCCTGAGCCTCTTCAGGGGGGAGCGGCTGGCCAGAGGGGGCCCTTAAGGAAGGCTGCTTGGCTCCCACGGCATCAGCCATCCCTCCTGCCTCCGCTCGGCCACCTGGAGCCTAGCACACTAAGGCACGTACTTACAAAGAGAGGACAACAGAGATGGCGACTGCAGGCCCCCCATGGCTGAGCCAGGGAGCACATTGTCCATATGTTTCTTGTCAAGGGACATTCACCACCCACGTCTGTCAAGAGCCTCCCCCAGCTTAACTGGCCCCTCTTCCTCCACCATCAGCCAGGTTGCTAGAATAACCTACACATCCCCCACCTCCCCAGCATTGGCTGGTGGTGATCAGTCCTTACTGATTGGAGGTTTTTGCATGTCATGTATCAGTTGATCAAACTTGCTGTTTTGGCCTGTTTTCTAGAGTAGACTACTTCACAGAGCTCTAAGTTACCTAAAGTCAGAAACTTCTGCTTACAGACGGTGAGGAATGAAGGACAGCACTCCCTAGTGCCTGTGACGCTGAGCTTCTGTATGTACAACTGGTTAAAGTCTCCCTACACTAACGTCTCCTTGTATGTTATGTAACAGGAGAAAACATCAAGAGCAAGGTTGTTCCTGTCCTTCTGCAGTGTGTTGCTCACTGTGTCCTAAACAGAAGAAGGAACTCCTGTTCCAGAACATGAGGTGACTTTCTCACCACTTCTGAGGACAAGGCCCCTGTCCTGGAGGGCCTCACGGCCATCTCCACAGGGCAGCCTCCCTCCCAGGGAAAGAAAGACCCTCTCCCAGCATCGTCTTGCTTGTCTAGTGAAAGACAGGACACTGACTGAGTTAAGAAATGTCCCCTGGGCTCAGTCGGACTCCAGAAGGAGCAGACCGGAGCCGGCCAACTCCCACCGGCGAGGGGAAGGATACCAGCTCTGGAGCTGGAACAATCGAACAACTGGACTGTGATCCAGCATCTTCCACTGCTTGGCTGTGTAACATCGGCCCGCTTCTGAACTCTCAGCCACGAACTCCTCATCTGGCAAAGGCCCCCTGCGAAGCCACAAGGGGGTTCAGTGACACGTACCTGGGGATGCTGGTGAGATAGGTCATGACATTCTGGAACTCCTTGTCCGGCACGTCGCTGAAGGCCGGGTAGTCCGGGAACGTGATGACTGGGCTGCCGTCCTGCCCCCGCCCACCTGGGGAGAGAGCAAAGGCAACACTTAACTCAGGGGGCATCTGTGCCATGTCTTCAGTGGAACATGGCCGATTTTTCATAAGCACTGAATATTTCACTTAAAATTGACAGTGCGTTCTTCAATGTTAGTATTTTTTAAAATTTATTTATTTTTAGACAGAGTGGGAAGGAGGGAGAAAGAGAGGGAGAGAAACATCAATGTGTGGTTGCCTCTCGTGTGTCCCCACCCGGGAACCTGGCCCACAACCCAGGCATGTGCCCTGACTGGGAATTGAACTGGCGACCCTTTGGTTTACAGGCTGGCGCTCAATCCACTGAGCCACATCAGCCAGGGCCAATGTTATATTTTTATTATGAAATACATGACACTTACTAAAGGAACTATTTAGAATATACAAAAAGGTGAGATGAATTAAAACAACCACCCATTTTTTTTTTGCCACTATATGGCAGCCACCATAGCACCAGGCACATTTCTTTCCAAACCTTGTTCGGTGCATTTTCCTACGTAATCGAGACTGTGTTGAATATAAAGCTGGTGTCCTGCTTCTTTCTTTACATTCTGAACTACAGCTTTCTGTGCTTTATAAATGATGTGACCATTGTTTTAAATGCTGTGTCCATTCCATTCAGGCTGTGTCTTAATGACCCTTCTAATGCCCTGTGTGTGGGCATTTGGTAGTTTCTCTGATATTCCACAGGTTAGACAATTTTGGTCTGAAGGGAGTTGCGTCTTTAGCATTTTAAGGTGGAGGGAGGGTACAGGTGGAAGCAGAAGGGAACTTTCCTAGGGGAGAGGCACCCCTGGCATTGCACGAGGGAAAACAGAGATGGTACACAAGGAGCCAGAAACAGCGGCCAGGTGTGCGGTTTGGGACCTGGGAAGGCAAGCACAGCTCTAATCCAGTGGGGCAGGTGGGAAGGGATGACCTTAGAGAGGAAGGCTGTGAATTTGGCCTGGGACAAATTCAGTTTGAATTGTCCCACAAACAGTTGGGAGAATTAGCATAGTGGGCACGTGAGAAGAGACAGGACTCGTATGGGTCCAGGCTCCGGTCTTCCTGCTTGCCTGTATCATGGGCTGGAGACAGATGCCACTCTCTGTCACTGCTCCCTTCAAGGGTGGGGCCCATTTTTCTTCCATGGAACCTGAGTCTGGCCTAGAGACCCATTCTGGCCCATCAGATGTGGCAGAAGTGATGTGCATAGCTCCCAAGGCTGGGCCGTAATGCACTGCAGGACCCATCCTCCTCGCTCAGAGCTCCCCCCGGACACCAGTGATCGTGTAAGGATCCAACAGCCCCGCATCCATCATGCAGTAAGGAAGCAGGGGCAGCCTGCATGAAGGGGGCCAAGGTACCACATGTGCGTGAAGCCCCCAATGTTCCAGCCAGCCCCCGAGGTAGACGCAACCAGAGATCTTATCCTGAATCCTGATGGATGGGAGGTGGGAGAGAGAGAAGGAGGACCCCTTCCAGGTTTTGCCTGGGAGTTTCCATAAGCTTTGATGGAGACCCACGATAGTCCAGGTTTGTTTTAGGCACTGAAACTTAGGGTGTTTGTTCATTTTCTAACAAATTCCCACAGACTCGACAACGGAAACCGGCAGCCCACAGTTGTGTGACTGAGTCGTGGTCTGGCTCGGCAGGTTCTTGCAGGCTGAAGTCCAGGTGGTAGCCAGGCCCGTGTCTCACCCGAGGCCAGGCTCGTATCCTAGGCCCATTTAGGTGGTCACAGAATTCAGCTCCCTCCGTTGTAGGACTGAGGTCCCCAAGTTCCTACTGCTGTTGGTTGGGTCGATCTCAGCCCCCAGAGGCACACACTCCTTGCCAGGTGCTCCCCCACATCTTCTGGGCCGGTGGCGGGAGAGCTGTCATGTCAGTTTCCCGTACTTGGAATCCCTCCTGCAGGAGCAGCTTGGTCCCTTTGAGGGCTCAGCTGATTAGGTCAGGCCCACCAAGGACGATCCTACTGTCAGCTGATTGAAGACCTTAATTACTTCTGCAAATCCCTTTCCTAAGCACCTGGACAGCATCTGAATGCCAGAGAGAAGATGTATCTGGGTAGGGGCAACCTGGGGCTCTGCCTCCTCCCCAGGTACCCAGAGATAACTACACGGTGCTGAGGGGCACTGGGACTGTAACCTGGAGGAAAGCCAAGGTCCTGAGTCTGGGTCACCAGTGCACATAGCTCCGAGCCTTTTGTGGCCTTGAAGGGGGTGTGAAGAGGTTGGGGAGATGCGATGGCGCCGATGGAACCGGCGGAGCCAACAAAGAGACGGCAGCTCCTTTTCTAAGTGTTCCATTGCTGTCGGCCCTCGCTCATCCTGTTGGAGAATTTTTATTTTTCCTAGTGACACCCCACTTTCTCTTCTCCCTCCATGGGGCCAGCACCCCTCATGGTGATCACTCCCTAAAAATCAATGGACTGTCTCGTCAACAAGCCCCAGAGGCTCCACTTTCCTGCTCACAACCTTCAGTGCTCAGGAGGCACATAAACCCTGGGGCTACCCCGTGGGTCCGTGTGTCGGGGGGCAGGTGGCTGAAACCATGGGGGGCTGGCCTGAGGAGCGGCTCCAGGCACTGGGGAGGCCAGGGAGGCCCTGGGGAGCAGAGCTGGTTTTTGAGGTTCAGGAGGGAGCCCCAGCCTGCTGGCAAAGGGGAAGGGACGAGCTGCAAGAAGAGAGCCAAGAGGATGGCAGAGCCTGGGTTCCCTCATTCTCAGGAAGCCGCCTAACTGAGAGCATGAGGAAGGTGTGAGAGACTTTTCCGGAAGTAGCCCAACGCAGGTAGACTTGCCCGGGCGGAGGAGTGCCCCACAAGGCTCTGAGAAGCAGCCGCCGCGGGTGCAGTCATCATGCCTCTGCAGCCCTGATGCACCAGCTCCGCCTGGCAGCGGGGGTCACGCACCACGGCCAGCTTGGCAGGATGGCAGGGTGCCTCACAGGGGTGGAGGAGGAAGCCGGGCCTGAGAGGATGTCAGCACCAAGACGGGCTTGGGGATACGAGGCTACCCAGTACAGGCCTCAGCGGCAGTGCCGGCCCCTCGCCCACGTCAGCCGCACTACAGGGCCTTCTCCCAGAGGACGGAGCCACAGAAGCCACGGTTGCTCAGTGAGGGAAGTGCCCAAGCCCGGGTGCTGCAAGAATGAGGCCAACTGTGTCACGCCATCCCGTTCCTACTTTACCTGTCACAGGAAAGGTCTGGACTCCAAGAGACTGCTGCCAGCCCCACTTGGGGCCGCTTCCCTCCCAGGACCCCAACTGATCTCCAGCCAGCTCTTCCCATGGCTGCTTGCCAAGCAGCGCCGAGCTGCCCTCTTCACAGGCGTCACTACCGCATCTCCTGGGCCCTCGGTTAAACTGAGAGCAGGCCGTGAGCGGATTGTCCCCAGTTCCCTCCATGTGGAACAGGACTGCTTAGGTCATGGAGAGCCAGAACCGAGGGGACGCCAGCCACCCACCATGCAGACACCCGCCTCCACACTCCCCTGCCTTCAGCACTCACCGGACAGGTAAGCAAAGCGCTTCTTCAGCTGGTCCTGGATGTCGGCAGCGCACAGCGGGGTGATGTCCTGGTGCATGATTTCATCTGCGGGGAGAGCAGACGGACACGCCTATCACTCGCTGGAAAAACTGTCCCACTTGGTGCTGCAAGTCCGGGTCGGCCCCACGCAGCCTCGCACATCCGCAGACAACTAAGGGGTCAGTGGTCACATGCTCGGAAAAAAAATGTTTCCAATACGCAGAAACCTTTGTTTCTCAGAGCACAAAAAGCTGAATGCTGAGTGATTCATCAATAATTAAAATGTGGCGTGTGTCAGAAGCACAGAGAAAGGCAGAGAGAGAGGAGGGAGGGAGGGGGACAGTGAGGGACACGCAGGCAGAAGGGGAGACACAGGGAAAGGGGTGAGCTGGACTGACCGCTACCACCAGGAGTCAATAAGCAGCACCAAAAACAGACACGCTTTGTTCCGTGAGTCTCCACCCATGCGTGGGAAGTGGTCCAGGCAACTCTTGGGGCCCTTACCTGTTGCCTGTGCAAAGACCTGCTGCTCAGAGAAGAAACCTGGCCGCTGCAGTGGGTTCACAGCCTCCAAACACACCCATGTGCGGGGCCTCACCACCTCCCTGGCAGTGACACCGAGGTGGGTGCTGAGCCAGGTCCCTGAGCCTGGTGCTGAGGGGGAAAGCGGCTTAGCGGGCTGCGGGCTGCAAGTTCTAGATCAGGAGTTTGGGAGTGCATTGGCAGTACCTCAAGCCACACCCAGGCGACATCAACCAGAAGCAAGGAGGTTTTGCAAGACTCCAGGGGAAAACCTGGAGACTGACTGAGGAGGTGAGGTCACCGCAGAGTGTGCCATGCTAGGGTGGTGGCGGGGGGGCCCAAAAGGTGGGTGTGCTCAGGCGTCTTTTGCTTTTCTGAGCCAATGCCAGGCTGGCTGTATAGCAAAATTTGCAGCCTTGAACACTGACACATTTTCTCTAAAGAGACTCACGACTCACAGTGATGCCTTGTGAATGGCTTACAAGGTCAATCCCTCTACACCCAGGTTCAGATTCAGGCCGTGAACAGCCTGGAAATATGGGTCTCAAAAATCTTTTACCCTGAAAATGCCAATGGAGCAAGCAAAATGCTATCTGCACGGATCTGTCCTAAATCCTGTTCTTCTGGTCTTGCAAATAAGCAAGTGTAAATAGGTGACGCACTTAAACACACAGGAGGGTCCCAAAGGTCCTGGCTCTGTCATTTGTGGAACTACCAACAGTCATGACTAACTGGCTCTTCAGCTCTGCTTGTGTTGAGGAGAAAGTGACAAATCATGGGGCTACTGGGCCTGCGAGGGCCGAACAGAGCGGCAGCAGCATTTGGAGTCAGGAAAGGAGCAACAGCGAATGCTCATTAAGCTCAGAAAGTCAGGAACCACCCTGGGCCTCCCAGGGACAGCCTGGTGGCACGATGCCATTTCCTGGTGTGCACTTAGATGTTTCGGCCATGTTTCTCTTTTGTGGGAGAAAAACAGGGTTGGAAACAATTGCTCCAAGAGAGCTTGGAACGTATATTTTTAATTTCAGATGGGGTAACTGAAGGCAGTCTGCACCTCATTTTACTTGGAATGAGTGTCAGGTGCGACCCACACAGGATACTGGAAGTTGAGATTTTATATTGCTTTTTGCTTCTCTCAACAGAAAGGAATAACCGCCCTCTTGAGTGTGAACCTTGTGCTGCCTCTTCTCCAATTCAACCTCTGAAACCCTGGGAGGAGCATGTCTGCGAAACATCGACCACTGGGAAGCAAGGGCCTCCCTGAAGTATGGGGACGTCCCGGGGCAGCAGAAAGTGGCACAGGCACGGCGAGCTGGCAAACCTCTAACAAGTGGGGATCCAACGTCAGTGACCAGCAACAGATGCTGGGCCACAGTGGTTCCCTGACCTTGGTGCGACCCTGGAGATGTCTGGCTTGGATCTTAAAATCTCCCACCAGGACTCAACTTGCAGACTTCACCAGCTTGTGAAGAAAGGAAACTGAATGGCAAGGCCTCTGATGGCAGACGTTTCCACAGTGATTCTTGATCCCGAAAGGCTGAGGCTTCAAGGCAGCACTTCCTCTGACGAGCAAACTCTCACGTTCCTGAGCTCACTTATGGACACCACGGGCTGTCCTCTGTCCAGCTCACCCTGACGGCAGACAGCTTTCCTACGTACTAGAGACAGGGCTGATATTACCGACCATTTCTACGCTTTCTGTGGCAGAGTGACAGTCTCAGCAGCTGGACCATTGTTAATGGGAATTTGGTTCCAGCGAGGGAAGTCTCTGGGGCCTCCTCACCTACTCTCCTCTCTGGGTGATGGCTGCCCTCACAACATTAAACTTTCTTACATGGGCCAGGGCCCCCCTGGCCTCAGGGCCTTGGCACAAGCTATGTGCTCCGTCATGCTTTTCCCGTATTTGTTTGCCAGTCTAATCCCACGCAACTCCTGGCCAAGATGTCACTCTCCAAGGAGGCTCCTAGCCTGGGCCAGGCCTCACAGCATCCTACCAGCACCCGTGGAGCACCTACCATGCCCACTACTCACAGCTGCCCTACCCCCAGGGCCTGGTTCAGTGGTTCCCATGGAAGGAGCTCAAAGAACACGCGTTGAACAAACGTGGCATGAGAAGAATGACAGAATGACTTCCCAGAGCGTCATTCAGAATCCCACCAATTTGGCAGCTCTTTCTGGCTTGCCCATAGGCTGGGTCCGCAAGTTCTGATCAGCTGCAGGCCACGTGGGGCGCAGAGCCCACAGCCTGCTGACTTACAATGTGCCACCCTGCAGCCAAGCTGGGGAAAGCAACACTTGGGAACTTTCTGGGGCAGAGCTAATCCTGATACTGCACCTAGACCAAGTGCTCCATTTTAGGTTTGAAAAATTGGGTTGCTCTGTGCAGAGTCTGTTGGGATCTGCACAGAGGTATGTTCATCCAAATTGACTATCTAAAAAGCACGCACATCTTAAATGGTCACTGGCCACTCCTCAGAAAACTGAAAATAATTGTAAAAATCCCCCACCTGGGGTTAAGGCACATGATTTTTAGTTTGTTACGTGATGCCTTTTGTGGCAACAGGCTCTGGTCACTTGTAGTTTTTCATCCTTTCCGTGGCTTTATTCTCATTCAAGGACAGGGCAATTTTGTACTTTGTGCTGATGGGTTTTTTTTCAGTCTTTGTCAGTTGTGTTTAATTGTGTAAAAGCGCTATGCTGTGGCCACTGGTTCAGAAGGAAATGGAGGTGCTTGATGGTGACACAAGTGAGCCTTAGTCCCTCAGTGCTACTCCAATGTCAGGAGTCTGGGACGGGAAGTGGGGTCACCCAACCCGCCAGTTCAATGAAAGGGTCAGGCAGGGCCCCGCTCCCTCACAGAACGTCTCTGTGGGAACACAAAGCCTTACAGATAACCGCCTTTCCAGCATTCCGGTCTCGACGTAAATGGAGGCTCCCGGGCAATTACCCCATGACAGAGTCACTTTTGAGAAAAGAGGTTAAGAAGGGCCTTGAGTCGGAGGGGTACAGGATGGGAGAGGACAGTGCTTCTCTTCCGATCCCCTACAGGGTGGCAAGGACATGGGGATTAGGCACTGGGGCCCAAAGGCTGGGCGGCCTCCCAGCACCAGCTCTGGGAGCCCATCTGGGAAGGCAGCCCTGTCTGGTGCATGGCAGGGGACAAATGGCTCGCCTACCCCTTCACTGGGAATTATCCCTGCCCCACAACATCTTATCTGACTGGGGACCCAGCTCAGTTCTAGATGAGGACAAAGGAGACACCTCAACTGCTGAAATGTAGTCACACCATGTTGTTGCCCGAACCCTGCCTGGCTTGGGTCGCGCTCTTAGAGTCCAGGGATGGCATTATACTCTTATCTTTAGTTCTTTCATCCTAATACAGTTAGACTAAGGCAGCAAATGTCCTTCCTCTTGAAACTGACTCAAGGATTTGAGTGTGGGACAATTCTGTAATGGAGGAGGGCAGCCTCTTGCCATGGCTGTCCGTTGAAGGGGCATTCTCCGCCCCTGCTCTGCTCCCCAGAGGCCACCTGAGGTGGAGAGAAAACACAGCACCGACAAGGGGCTGCAGTAGACGTAGAACTCGTGGGACCCTAAAAATCCACTGAGAAGCGGTACATGTTCCAGGTTAAGTGAGCCCCAGGGTACTAGGAGGAGTCTCGAATTCTGTCCAGTTCAAAGGCTGGCCCCTGCGGTTTACTGGTGACCTTGGGCCTTGCTCAAACGGAGACAAGCCTGAGAAAGGCTCCTACAAAGGGGCCAGAAGCTGGTGACAGACCCTGGGGCACAAGTCTATTATGTGCTAATTCTCTTATTTAAATCTTTCTGAAAGTCTGTACCCAAGGCTTTTTGTCGTCGTCGTCGTCGTTGTTGTTGTTTGTAGATAATTAAGAATTTACTATTCTGCTCTTTTTTTAAGTATATTTTATTATGTTACTACAGTTATCCCAATTTGGTCCCCCTTTGCCTCCCTCCGCCTGGTACCCGCCTTCCCTCCAGCAATCCCCCCCTTAGTTCACGTCCATGGGTCGTGCATGTAAGTTCTTTGGCTTCTCCATTTCCTATACTATACTTAACATACCCCTGTCTATTTTGTACTTATGAATTATGACTTTTAATCCCTGCATCATTTTCCCCATTCTCCCCCTTCCAGAGATCTCCATATCTATGATTCCGTTCCTGTTCTTTGCTTAGTTTTTTTTAGATTCTGCTGTTGAGAGTTGTGAATGTGTTGTCTTTTTGATGTTCATAGTTTTGATCTTCTTCTTAAATAAGCCCCTTTAATGTTACATGTAAAATGGCTTGGTAGTGATGAACTCCTCTAGCTTTACCTTGTCTGGGAAGTACTTTATCTGCCCTTCGATTCTAAATGATAGCTTTGCTGGATAGAGTAATCTAGGTTGTAGGTCCTTGCTTTTCATCTCTTTGAATATTTCTTGCCAGTCCCTTCTGCCTGCAAAGTTTCTTTTGAGAAATCAGCGGATAGTCCTGTGGGTACTCCTTTGTACGTAACTCTCTGCTTTTCTCTTGCTGCTTTTAAGATT